TTTTTTTTTTTTTTGTACCAGGGATCGAACTCAGATCCTTGTGCTTGCGAGGCAGGTGCTGGAACCACTGAGCTAAATATCTGGCTGGTGTCCTATTTTTTAATATGAAGGTAAGTGAGCTGTGATCTTTGTCCTCACAGACTTTAGCCTGTATTAAGATGGAAACAAAGTAAAAATGAATAAGCAGGACAAAAAATAAAATGCAACAAATATTAAAAGGTGTCCCAATAAGTGGGATGTTTGTATAATCAACCCAACATTTATGAACAATATCTCGCATAGAGCAGATCCTCCCTTGCCTCAGTGAGTGAATTAATAAGTAAATAGAGTAATAAGTCATTTAGATGGTAGCCTGCAAGTTAAGAGGATATAGAGATTATTTTTCTGGGGTGGTAATCAAGAAGAACAAAGCTGGGCATGGTGGCATACACCTATAATCCTAGCACATGGGAGGCTGAGGCAGGAGGATCTCTGTGAGTTTGAGACCAGCCTGGGCTGCATAGTAAGTTCCAGAGCAGTCTGAACTATATAGTGACACCCTGTCTCAAAAAATAGAAGAAGAAGAAGAAGAAGAAGAAGAAGAAGAAGAAGAAGAAGAAGAAGAAGAAGAAGAAGAAGAAGAAGAAGAAAATGGAAGATTTGCCAGTTGAGCCTTGGAGCCTTGGTTGTTAAACTTTGAGTGAAGATGAAAAGAAGGGCTTTTTAGGATATGGAGACAACATGGACATACACAGGGCAGCAAAATAATTAAGAGATGAGCTTGGCAATTTCTAAACTATCTAGTTTTGCTTGGCACCTATCACAATATACACCAAAATACATTGGGAAAAATAAAAATAAATAAAGCAGGCACTGGCTGCCCTAGCAGGATTAGCAAAATATGGGAGACAGCCCCATCAGAAGTGGTTTGAAGCACGCCAAGTCCAACAAAAGATGGACAGGTGGTCTAAATTCCTTGGATCTCCCTCAGCTTCGTCACCCATAAAATGGCACAGTACCTATATTGCAAGTATTTTTGAGAATTATGTGAAGTTTGATATATAAATTAGGTGGCACATAATATTTATTATATTTGGTAATATTAACAATAATAATAGGCAACATTATTGAGTCAAATAGCACAATGCAGCTACCATTCTCTTGAAATTCTGATGTAATTACAGATAATAAGACAACTAACTAACTCACCCATTAAGTTCACTCTCTGTGATTTACCTCAGGCATTGATCTGCTTGGTTACATCTGGTCAGAAATGTAAAACCCTGTCATCACCATAGATTTAGAGCATTTCCTATAGGTTAATATAAAACCAAATGTTTTCAAAGGAAACAACTTAAAAAAAATAGGAAAGCAGAATGGTGTGTTGGTGAAGGGGTACACATTTTGGAGCTAAATCTAAACCCGAATTCCTGTTTAACCATTTACTGTCTCTGTGGCCTTGAGTAAATTACTCAACCTTTGTCTGTAAACCTTGTTTTTCTGTTGTAAAAGGGGAGGGATGCTGATGATACTGACAATGATAAGGAACAACAAACAGATGAACAATACTACCAACTTCATAGACTCATTGTTTAAAGCACGGTGTCTGGCGCACAGTAAGTATTATAATTATTTTTATTGTTATCTGATTTGCCTGTATACATATTTCCTGAATAATTTAATACCAGGTAATCAATCCTTGTGGGGAAGGAAGAATTTCCACTAATTTCCATGTGTGGTGATGGAGAGAGAATGTTTGCTTTGCAGCCAAAAAATCTGAACCCTGATCTTAGCCCTGCCACTAGTTCATTTTATGACTTGATGAAGAAATGCTTTACTATTAACCTCAGCTTCTTTTTATTTTCATTAAGTTTAGTGGTACTTTTTAGGTATACAATAGTTACATTCACCTTTGGGATCTTGTAACTTTACATGATGCACCTTGGTTCTTATTTTTTCCCCATTCCCCTGCTCTCCTTTCATCCCCTCTACCCTTCCCTATTTACAAAGGCTTTGTCTCCATTTTTTCTTTTTCTCATATGTTTTCTTTTCCCTTCTTTCTTTCACCCTACTCTTCCCACTTCCCCTACTCCTTTAGACATTTTCTTCCTATTTCACATTTTCATTTATACAATTTGAACCTTATTTACACTTTTAGTTTTTCACACCAAAGATGCTATTCAGTATTTACACGTGTGTCTTATTTATTTCATTTAAGAGTTTGGCCATGAAGTGCATCCATTTAGCTATACATTTTTCTAGTTTTTTCAATCTTCATGGCTGAGTAGTACTCCATTTTATAGAAAAACCACATTTTCTTTAAAAAACCAATCTCCAGTTGATGGGCAACTGGTCTATTTCCAACTTTTAGCTATTACAAATTGTGTGGTTATAAATATGGGTGTGCATATATCACTGTGATATGATTCTTTTAATTCTTTTGGAAAGATACCCAACAGAGGGATAGCTAAGTCAAATAAGACCTCTAATCCTAGTTCTTTGAGGAATCACCATATTGATTTCCACAGTGGTTGCACCAGTCTGCACTCCCACCAGCAATGGAGAAGGGTTCCTTTCTCCCCACAACCCCACCAGCATTTGTTATTGGTTGATTTCTTGATACTAGCCATTCTTTCTGGGATAATGTGGAATCTCAGTGTTGTTTTCATCTGCATCTCTCGGATGACCAGTGATGTGGAACATTTTTTCATATGTTTATTTGCTGCTTTTTCTTGTTTGTCTGAGAAGTGTCACTTCATTTCAGATGCCCATTTTTGAATTGTGTCTTATATTTGGGGAGTCTGATTTTTTGAGTTCTTTATATATTCTAGATAGTAGACCTTTGTCTGAGGAACAGCTGGTAAATCTTTTTCCCACATTGTAGGTTGTCTCAGCTTGGTTGGTGGTCTTTCTTGCAATGAAGACACTTTTTAATAAGTTGAGATCTCAGTTGTTGATTTTTTTGTGCTAGTAAACCTTGGTTTCTTTATTTACTAAATATAGGATACAGGCTAGGTAGATCCCATCTTTATGGTCTGTCATTTTAAGATTCTCTGCACCTACTATATGAAATTTCTACTATATGAAACACTAAACTGAGTCTGTGCATATAGTGCTGGAAACAATGTGAAAGATCAACTAAAAATCAATGAACTGTTCAAAATATTTTCTTCACTTGAAGGATCACAGAGTCACACAAATGGGGGGAGCCAAACTGCCTGTTTCATACAGATTCTTAGGGAAAAATCAACACTTTCCCCCATAATTTAGGTTTGTATTCTGGAGATATGTTGTATTATACAGGATAAAACTTAGTGGAAAATTTTAACATATCTAGATCTTTGACAACATAAGTATAAACTGTTCAGTTTATTTATTAAATTTTTTGATTTATTAGTGAGGCCAGTAGTTTGGTGTAGATCCAGAATAACTCAGGAACTGCTAGCTCTCAGGATTGAAAGACATCCCAGAGACATTTAAAAATTTCTGGATGTTATTTATAAAGACAATTTGGAGAACACTTCTTTATAATGGCACCACAGAGTTGGGGGTGGGTATTTTTAGGCTTCCCTAGGCACTTGAGAATGTACAGCACCTGTTTTTCAGAAACCAAATGGCACAGATATATTCTGTCTGGTCTTCTTGGCACATTTTGGAGAGAAGCCTGGACCCTGTGGTGTGCTACATACCTCAGCCACTTTGATGCTGAAGCAAAAATGTATTGAAAACTTATGCTGCACACAGGCAGAGATGTACAATTTCTAAACAGAACCCCAGACCACGCCCAAAGCCTGCCAGTTCTTTTCAGCACCGTGGACAGCGAACAGAAAATGCTCCCTGTAAACCCTGGTTTCTGCTGTAAATGAAGGAAAAGGCAAAGCACCCACAGTGAATCCTAACAGTGTCTCCTGAAATTGTGTGCTTTCTTCATTGTAATTCTACCCAGTGACTGTGTATAATTCATTTGTTCATTCAGTGAATGTGCTGAAAGACTAATAAAATAGACCCTACCCTCAGGGGTTGTGTTCCTTCAGGGAAAGCAAGTCAATATGACAAGAGTAGTTTAGCAGAGTTAAAAGCATTTCTAATATAATACTGGGACATGATAGGAAATAAAATACCAGTGTGTTAATGGGTTACATCTAGGAGGGCAACACTTTGAAAAGCTCCATGGCATTTAAAGTTTCATAATATGGAGACATGTTTCAGTTGTTTGCTATTATAAACATAGCACAAGAAAATAGGTGTTCAGTATTTATATGTTAAATGAATAATTTTATGGTATGTGTGATAGTGAGGCACTGGGTTTTAGAAAGTATAGTTGCTTATTCAATTTTGCAATTTATAAATATCATTCTGGCAGCATTATGGAGACTGGAGTAGAGAGGAGAGAAGATAAAGACAGGAAGATGATTGCAATTGTTGAATGAAAGATAATAAAAACCAGTATCAAACCCAAAATTAAGATGAGCAATAGGATACGAGAGAAAGAGAGAATATAGAATTAATAGAACATTAGAAGAAGATGTAGATTTTTTGGAAATGAGGATTTGCTTTGTGATTGCTTTGTGTTTGAAGTGCTTTGTGAAACATCAAAGTGAAGGTAAGCAGGGGCAATTGTTCTGGAGATAAGCCAGAAGTCTGGGTTGGTGAGAATATAAATTTGTCTCTGAACACAGTTACAGGTTTCATGCACTCATTTATTACCTCTCATGAGATAACTAGCTGGTGCTTGAAGTGTAGGGAGGCAAATGAGGAACAATAGCAAAGCCAGGATATCTAAATATCATGTCAATTATATCTTGACAGGCCTGTTTTCACATTCATAAAATAAAGACATTGGTTCTGGTTATCTTTTTTCTTGGAAATTTTGTGCTTTCTGTATTCTATCTCAGGATGTAAAATCTCATGTCTATAGAGGCATATAAATTTTTCTAAAGTAGTGAAATTGGCCAAACAGAGATTGTGAAAATTTGGGGAATATATGCTCTATCCATTGGGCCACCCATCCCTCTCTCCAGATAATGTGGAAAGCTAGGCATTAGAACATCTTTTTTATTAAAATTTTTTATTTTAATATAATACAAGTAGATATTAATAAATAAAATATAAAAGCTGTTTTTTGAAAAATAATTTTGCATAACAAAAATCATTAGAGAATAACAATAGTAAATACACTGTGATTATAATGTAAAAGAATATATTTTCATTTGCTAATCTCTCAGCTCATTTCTCAATAAAATTATATCTATTTTTTGCCTAAAATGTTTTAAGTACTTGCAAAGTATCTCATATTGTGTATAATTTTGAATAATTTCTATTTAACTCTATTTATTTTTTTGGTCTTTATTTTCACTTTCAGGTTCTCATGACAGAGACAATGTGATATTTACAATATGTATTTGATTTATTTCGCTTGAAAGTATATTATCAAGGTGCACGCATTTACCTAGAAATATCTCAAGTTCGTCCTTTATGGCTGAATGGTAGTCCATTGTATAAAAACACATCTTTTTTATCCATTCATCAGTTTATGGGCATTTGGATTATTTCCAAGATTTAGCTATTGCAAACTGTACTGCTATAAATATGGGTGTGCATATATTGCTGTGGTATGATGCTTCTAATTCTTTTGGGAAGAAACCCAGAAGAGGAATAGCTGGGTGAAATGGGACCTAGAATATGTCTTTGAAGTAATATGCTATGTCATATCCATTATATCCTCTTGATACAATTAATATCTTGGCCTCAGAGGACAGGTTGATGTCAGTTCCTAGTCATGTTGTGATGACATGCTTCTATCTCAAGTTCTTCCCCAAAGTTGTGGTATATACTAATTTGCATACAGATGAAGTCCAAAAATATGAGCATATTTATATCTCTAAGAGAAACTGGATGTGAGTTCTTGAACCCCTGGCCTCTTGTGTTTTTGATAGGTAATTCTAGGAAGCATTTGTATGTTTTCCAAGGGTTAGGGTGAGAATGTGCCCTTCGCTTACACAATGTAAAAAGTCTTTCTGGTAGTTTTAATGTGACTTTATATTCTATGGCTGGAGATGAAATCTTGTATCTTAAATCATTATCTTCAAAGCTGGGATGGCAATCAGCATCAAGATAAATCTTGACACTAGAGTCAAGACCATGCTTGGGAAGGAGAGAAATCCTGAGAGTGGACTTTGAGAATTTTGGTAGATGCATGTATAAAATTTTTACATCAGAATTTTCTTGACTCTTCCTGAGCAATAGAAGCAACCCATCTGTCTTGTTAGTGTAGAAGATTGTTTTCTCTTCAGGATACTTTGCTCGGATGGGTGATTCTCAAAACAATGCTATCTTCCAAAATATTTATTACTACCTCCCTTCATTATTTTCATACCAATAACTGGACTATTAACATGTCTATGAATAGGTAAAGTGAATGACTATAGATTCTTCTCCATAGAATAAAGACATACTTAATAAAGGAGTACAGGACCTAGGTAATACAAATCAGCAGACATGCAATAAATGTGTAAAAGAGAAGTTCTTGATGGAGTTGGATGAGGTGAGAAAAAATACAGAGTTTAATATGGGTGACTGTATTGATGTGAAAAAAAAATGCTCTTGTAACTTAGAATTTGGCATCTTATTTAAGATACTTGGAACATGTCCTGTTAATCTTCTGTAAAATGTTACTTGAAACTGAGCATTAAGATGGATTACAATAAATGAGTCAAATAGGGCAGAGTTTTGTGAGGTGGGTAACAAGACTGAGGAGAGTAAAACATGTTGAGATGAATGACCACAGAGTACTCTCTATTTGATGGTTTCCCCTGGAAGGATCATAAATTATACTTTTCAATAGGCGATTAGGAACACACTAGTGAGGGGGCCCCAGCATGGCTGTAAAGCTCAGAGGTGGCTGACTGCTATACACCAGGTAACAAGGTCATGGAACTGAGCTTCAGAATTGTAGAATCCAGTTGGAAGCACTTTACATCAGAGGAAAAGTGGCCATCACTGCTATGACCGTGGTGCATAGAAAAGCTCTGATGACAAAGTTCTTTGACTCACAACAATCTATCAAAATGACTGATGGAAGTTTTTAGAGGTAAGATAGATGGGAACCTGATGAGGGTATTTCTTTGTTTGTATAATGGCAAATAATCAAGAATTGATGAGCAGAACCTGATTATCAGCTACAGAAATGGAAAATTGTAATTTCTTATTCAGTTTCCAGATTAGATTCAATGACTAAGATTCAGGCCTTGCTGGTTGAAAGACCCTGTCTCTATTGTGACATTTTAATTTATCTAATAAACATTCTCTCCCAAAAACCTGGAGCAATTTTTCAGAGTAGGTGCAAACAGAGAAAAAGGAGAGTTATGCAACATTTAACAATTAACTAATTAACTAGGCCTATTATATATGGGGTCAGAGAGCACAGTGATGCACAGTAAATCAAAATCCCACCATGGCTACTTGGTTAGAATAAGAGACTAGGATAGTATGGGGGATGGCAATAAAATAATCCCCCCCCACCAAGGTATCCCTTCTTGCTTCAAGTGCACCTGTCATTCTAGCTACTTTCTGAAGCAGTACCGGAAGTCCTCTTTCATGAGTGTCTTTATGATATGTGATTAAAAAAACACAGAGAAGGCTTCTGCCAAGTGGGATCCAACAGAAAGGCAGGCTTGTAAGCACCTATGCTGTGTCCTCATTTGTTCATTCACTGGATCTGGCACCGTGTGACTTCTGGCTCTTTCCCAAAGTCAAAATGACTATGACATGTAAACATTTTGAATCATTTTAGAACATCAAGGAAGACACAGCAGCACAACTAAAGACGCTCATGAAAAGGGACTCCCAGAATAGTGACAAAAATGATGGGATAAGTAGTATGTTCAAAGCAATGGGGGAATATTTTGAGGGTGATCAATGGCAATGTGTCTTTTACTGTAATAATTTTAAAAATTAACATTCACCATATTTTTCAATTCCATCCTATAGAAGACACAGTGGGTCCATGATCAACCCTATCTCTGAGTCTACAGTGGGATGCCTATACTAAATGGTTGGTATAACTCTCATACTTCCTGACCAATAAGGCCAAATTGCAACCTATAAAACATCCCATTCTCCAATCAAGAAAGTATATCAGAAAAAAAATCACATCTAGGAGGAACAATAGTTATTGGCTTGTGCATATGACAGATCTAAGGAATTGACTGTAGCTGATACATAACTCCACGTTCCACTCTTAATTTCACCTCTAACTCTGGTGGACAATTTTGACTCATTTACCATGAACAGTATGTCAACTCAAACCTGTGCTATATGTCTTTCTCTTTTACGCCATATGCTGTTCTCCAACTTAGCTCAGCCTGAAAAAGTAGGAGGAACTTAATGTATCCAAGGTAGATGGACATTGGTACATAAATGTGGCTTCTTGTCTGTGGAGCCATTAATTCAGGAAAATATTCTGCTTGGGTTTCAGAAATTTCAGAACAATCAAATCTCTGTTGGTTACAGGAATAATTACTCTGTTGTCAGCTATACCTCTTTGCCTGTCCTTGTCTCAATGATGACATTCAGAGAAAACCAAACAGTGACATAAGCCTGCTGCTGCAAGAGCTTCTCCTTCTGGATTTCTGTGAGAAACTCCTGATTTTTAAATGAGAGCAAGTAATTAAGAAAATCTATAGTGTTGGCCAATTACAATACATCTGTTACTCATTCCTGCCCATGAACCACCAGTGTGCTACTTTTTCCTGACACAAAATTTTATCTAGAAACTGAAGCATTGGTGGTGTAAGTGATTAAACTGAAAGAGTGAACTAAGTGGCATTGTGTTCACAGCCTTCCCTTTCTCAAAGAAAACAGAAGCCAAAATTAAGGCAGAATGCTTAATTTAAATTTTTATTTTGAGAAGCCATTTGGTTTACAATTTTATAACAAATAAATTGACAAGTAAAAGTTGAATCTAATTACCATGAACAATGTGGTATGTTGATATATGTA